CATCCTTCTCTAAATTTTACCCCTGCATGGCCCACAAAAGGGTGAGTGAACTTGGCATAGCCACTTCCTTCTCGAAATTTCACCCTGCCCACAAAAGGACAAAAGGGTGAGTGAGTGAGTGAGAGTGAGTGAAAGTGAGTGAGAGTGAGTGAGTGAGAGTGAGTGAGTGAGAGTGAGTGAGTGAGAGTGAGAGTGAGAGTGAGTGAGAGTGAGTGAGTGAGTGAGAGTGAGAGCGAGAGTGAGTTTGAAGCAGCGCATCCCCGTGTACAGACGAGGTATATCATTCGCGTGTACAGATGAGTCACTTTTCGCGTGTACAGACGAGGCGCCGGCCTCCTACCTGGATCCCTTCTTTTCTTCCTTCCCTTCCCTTCCCTTCGACGAGGTGACCAGGGACCAAGGGGACCAGGGGACCAAGGGGACCAGAGGACCAAGGGGACCAGGGGACCAAGGGGACCAGGGGACCAAGGGGACCAGGACGACCATGTGGACCAGGAGCAAGCATACAAGAGACGGGAAAGGAAAATAATTATTTTTTGATTAGTTAATTAATTTGTTGTTGATTACGTAAATAACTTTTTTTTGATTCAGTAATTAATTTCTTTTTGATACACATGCCTGAACAGGGTGTGAATTCCTTCCCGTCCCCTCTTTCTCTTCAGCCTTCTGCAGAAAATGACCGGAACACGGGTTGCATGCCGGTCCCAATCGCCCGGGAACACCTTCCACTGGTGTTGCAACAAGTATAGATGTTTCCAGCGGTCACCGTCTCCATCATCTTCCGCTTCTTTCGGCACCTTCTCACCACCTCCCCGCGGCGTCTTTCGGCACCTTCCCGCCCCCACAAGTCGTCCGCCCCAGAGGCTGAAGCAGACTTCCCCGGGTCTCTTTTTGAGGCAACTGAGCCACGGTGGCTGTCACGGCGGCCAGGATCGCATGCCCCAAGCCCTCTCGAAGCAAATCGCCGCGGAGCGAGAGCATCACCTGGTCGCGCGGGGCTGGCCCGCGTTGCGCGACGGAGGTCTGAGCGGTTGCGCGACACCGGGCACGGGAGGTTCGTCGTGTTGCTTTGGATGTTCCCAACACAGCGGACTGACTTTTGGGCGACGAAATGTGTCGGACCTGACTTTGGTCAGTCTTAACTTGGCGCCAGAACGTGGAGCCCCCGCCAGCGCCCCCACTTAGCCGAACAAGCCGCTCATTCCCTGCTGTGTGCTTCGACTAAGGATTTATGCCAAAGGCCAGCTTCAATCCCAGGCATGAGTTCTAACAGTGTTGGTTCTGCTCTAGGTTTCGGGCACGCAAGTTGTAGAGCAAGCGATAAAGGCTCACATCCAAGGTCTTGCTCTCGGAATCATCCTGGCATGCGGCCAACTCATCGAGTCCTATCCAACAAAACGCAGATCCCCAATGCTTCGATCCACACACAGATGGAAATCTTGGAAATGGCCAAGAATTGAAGAATTGACCACTCATGAAGAGAAGAATCCGCAGGGTGCCGAAGTCGCCCAATCTCTCGGTTCTTCAAAAGCAAGGAGAGACTTCCTCCACCAAACGATAACGACTCTCAGTAGAGCCCAACCCGTCTCACACTTCCCACCACCTCGTGGTCCCCGTTGCGATGTCTCCGCTCCCAGCCCCACCTCGGGGAGCTCCTTCAGTCTGGCTTCATGGGTCTTGAGCAAGTCGTCCAACTCTTCCAAGTCTGGGACGTCTTCCTTCAAGTTGCCTGTTTTCGTCCCGCTGATCCCCGCTGGTCCGGTTCCGGCGGGTCGAAGGATCGAAGTGAAACACTTCTGGATGCGAAGGTGCTGCCATGGCCTCAGCTGTCCTTCAGTCCATTCTTTCCGAATGAAATACGTGAATCCACGTGAATCCTGAAGTGAGCAAGTCGGTGTCTTTCCCCCTAAGACCATGCAAGTGTTAAGACCTTCGTACAACCACCACTCGCCACTCACCACCCGATCTGTCCTCGAACCCGCCTGAGGAAACCTTCTCCAGGCACTGGATCTTCTCCCTGTAGGCCAGCCAGGCCAATGAGGTGCCACTGTTCAACTGCTGCGCCAACCTCTTCTCCTGTTCAACTGCGGGCCATTGGGCGGGGCCTTTGCTGGGCGCCTTTTTCTAGCAAACGCCCTCTTTTTGGGGCTCGATGATCGATCAAGAATCTACTCGATTGGAAAAGACCGTGAAAGACATGTCATTGTCTCTCAACAACTTAAAGGCCACCAGGGGTGCACCCAACTTCACTCACTGCAACTAGGATTGATGAAGTGCCCAAAGTAGTAGAGTCGGTACTTAGTAGAGCTAGTTGAAGAACAAACAGTCCTTGTTGTGAGGCATGCAGCATGCATCTCTTTTGGCTCTTTGGGTCTTTAATGGATGGTCTTTACACGTCTTTACTCATCTTTACTCAGCACCCTGAGCTCCCAGCTCCTGCGCCGAGGCCTGGTATCGAAAGACTTCGCCCACGCCGCCAGCCGTCGCCGTGCCAGCATCCTCCACGACCGGAGCGGCGCTCGTGTTCGCCGCGGCTTGCTGCGGCGCCTCGGGAGGCGGAGGAGACGAAGAGGAAAAAGACCGACGGGAGGGAGTAGGTTCTCTACTCAGGCGGCCCAATTTACTGCTTTTGGGTCGCACCGTTCTGTCTCCCGTCGTGAATGAATCGTTGACTTCTTGAGATGATTTCTGGACTAAAATTACCAAAGGCAGCTTTTTGGCCGCCAGGCCACCGAAAGCAGCCACGCATGAGCCTCCAAGCCCGGCTCCTGCAGAGAATGCCAAGAGTCTGACAAGTGCAAGAGGGGACGCCTCACCTCAAAACCGTCGAAGATCTTCGACATGCGTTGAATTGAACATCCCACAACTCCGGCCCCAATTTGGCCACCCCTAGCTGCGCCATGCTGTGCTCAACGACCCCGGTCGGGTGCGTTTTCGTCTCCTGAAAAGCCACTGAGATCGTCCTGCGCTCCCACCTCGTCTCATCCGTCTGCCACGTCGGTGGACTCTTGCTGCTATACCTTGGAGGCCACAGACAAGCTCAGTCACCCCATCCAATCGGTCGAAACCCCAAACACCATGGTCCCCAAACAAAGGATCTCCCAGGAATCCCCAAACATGAGGAATCGACCAAAGCTGTGCCAAAACTCTTTGTTTAACCTTTCAAGGCGCTCGATCCAGTCATGCCTCCACTCTGGACACTGGCTGCGCTCCTCCGATGCCATAGGTCGCCCGTGCGTCCGTCCCTCGCGCACCTCGCCCAAGGGTGCTGCCTCGAGAGCCTCGAGGCGTCCCGGTGGAGATTGGATGGGAAAGGGATGAGAATGAGAGACAGAAGAAGAAGAGGAAGAAGAAGAAGATGATGATGAGGGATGGGAAGAATAAGAAGAACCTTCCTTCACTCTTCCCTGATATGTTGAGAAAGAAAGCAACACCCGTGCTAAGAAAACGACTCGAGCAGGAGTGCCGCAGGCGCAGCTGAAGACACGCTTCCAAAAGGGCACCCAATGATAGTCAGTCTTCTGATCTTTTCTGATCTGAGAAATTGGAGATCACTGCGAAGCAAAGAGAAGGTCATGGCGTGCTCACGGCCTCAACAAAGCGCAGCTTCGCGTCCTTCTGGAAGAGGCCCTGAAACCGGCAGCTTCGCGGTCATTCGGTCATTCGGTTCACCGACACCACTTCGAAAGGCTTCCTCCGCCCCCGGTTTCGTTGGGTCCGGTTTTGGACCCTGTCCGCAAAACCCACTGAAAACGCACCCCTCGGACCCTTGGTGAAGCCATCGTTGCACTGGGCTCGTTTGGCGCCTCCAAGTCCTCTGGCAGCTTCAGCGGTTCGAGCTGCGGCAGCGGGAGCTCTGCGGGCCCCGCGGAATCAGCGGCCAACGTCCAGGCGCCCGACCAGCCCGCCTGTGTACGCGGCTGTTGGCGAAGAAGAGCTCCCCACAAGCATGGGTTGGAAAAAAGCATCCAAACAAGAGGTGATCTCAAAATGTTTGTTCGGATGATTCAAGCATCTTGTCAGCTTGTGTGGACACTGTCCAAACATGAACTATTTAGCTATGAGCTGCCGGTCCTATTGGAACTCATCCAAGCCCATAAATGCAATTTCCTGCTACTAGACCTGATGCCTTGTCCTGCATTCGGCCACACCTCGAGAATGGTGGAAGAGCACTCAAACCTCATCGAGCGGGGCAACACGTCTGAGCGTCGTGTTGCAGTGCCCTTTGGGCGATTCGGAGACAGTCAAAATTCGGAGACAATCAAAATGAATTTGCTGAGGGTTGCCTGTGGATAGGAAAGTCACGATGACTAACTAGCTCAAAACTGTCGGGAGGACAAGCTAAGCAGAATCCATCAGAATCCCATGTCCCATTTCAGACCAATCAGCTTGGATCATGGCTCATCACATAGGCACAATTGAGTCCGGCCAAGCAGCTGCAGGTGCCCGTCCCGCACGAAGCGTGCGCCGCTCCCAACGCCGTCCGCTGGGCCGGAGAAGTCCAGCGCCGTCCGTCCGCTCGCTTCGAAGCTCCAGATCGACGGCAAGGCCTCGACGCCGAGCCGGGTCAGGTCCAAGGAACGCACCTTGGCTTGTCCTCGCGGAATGGGTCGGTGTCCAAATGCGGTTCTTCTCAGGGACCCAAAAAAAAGGGACTCTGACTTTGTATTCTATCTTATTCTCATAAACCCATGCCATGCGACTTCTTCCTGGGCCATCTTCCTCGACGTTCCCCCTCCGACTCAGGCTCGGAATGGGCGGCTCATGGTTTCGCAAAAAAAGGATGTACAAGGGATATGTGAATTTAACAGAAATTAGAACGTTAACACATCTGAACACCTTGTTTAACCTGGAAAAATTCAAGGCATGAACATGCACGCGACGCGAGGTGTTCCAATGGTTTCCCTGTTCAACCCGTCCTTTGGGCTGCCAAACTCTGGAGTAGCGAGTCTCCACTTCAGTTGGGTGAGATGCTTCAGTCTCCTGCGCTGCCGGCCTTGCACCGACTTCAGTGCAGTCTGGCGGGTCTTTGGTTTGGAGCTGTGGATTTGGGATGATACTAGCATCCTCCTTGCTCAGGAAGTTGGAGGAGCCAGCCATATGGTGCATCCACTCACAGTCTTGATTGATCTGCTTCATCGCCACAGACACTTCTGGCGTCTCACGATAAGCTGCATACTCCGCGAGCCACTGGCGGCTTTGGGAGTCCAAGGCCTCGGCCTCTGGCAGCAGCGAGACCAACGCATCTCTCGTCCAGGAGTCTTCCACGGCTGGCAGCAGCGAGGGTGCTCCGAGGTAGTCAAAGTCTTCCACCTGGCAGAGTTAGCATGAAAAAACGAGAGAGTTCCGATACCTTCAGCCGGTTGAGTGTAGATTGAACTTTCAACTGGTTGAGTTGAATGTTTAATAATCCGGAAATACAAAAATACAGTAGTTGAAACAGAACTCGCACAACCAGGGGGTCACCCATCGCTTGTACCGCTGACCGCTTGTGCTAACTTGTGACCGCCTGTGCTTCTGGAAAGACTGGAATTGCTTCGTCGGCGAACCGCACCAAGTTGAAGGTTTCGCAGGGTGAACTGGTTGGCACAGGGCAATGGATCTGCATCAATGCAGCAGCCAAGGGAGGTGCCTCCCAATGCCAGTTCACCTGCTTTACTGGTAAGTCCTCCACTGCATCGCGCTGACCCTCCTCTTCGATCAGCGCGAAATAGTCCAAGGCAAGACACTGCATGGGACTTCAACTGCACACCACTGGCATGGCGATTTCAGCAAAAAGCCTTGAGCCAATCAGAGGAGCCAACCAGGTAGCCAAGCAAATCCACACAACCACAGTGGCTGTGTGTTTCTACACAGCATGCCGGTGGAGCTTTGAGGTTTTCAAGGCCAACTGGTCTGGTATGCATAACCTCAGATCCCGCCCACCGGACGATCACCGGGCCTTCGGGCGGGCGCGCTGCGCGGGTGCGAAGGCCCCAAGGCCTCCACCAAAGACAGCACCAGCTGCCTCGCCTCAAGGACCGCCCAGCGGAACCGGAGCTGCTACCCGACCCCGCAACCACCGGGAGCAACGTCGGAAAGCGCGTACAGTGTGTCTCAAGACAGCCACTGAACAAGTAAGAGTGGGGTTTCCCAGTTGTTTCTTTGAACTTCCTAAGTGGAGGAAGCAAAGCTCAAGCACATCTCAGCACGGGCACCCAATCCAGCCATCAAAACCATCCATCCCGGTTTCCTTTCCTTTCCCGGTCTCTTTCTTTCCCCGCACCCAAAGCCGCGCTTTCTTCCGTTCCGCCGCGCGCGCCTCGTCGGAGCGCTTCCGACGCAGGAGCTGGAGCCCCGCTTCGAAGGCCTCGGCCTCACGCGGGTGACGTGCCCTGCCTGTAAACAGCCGCCCTCTCACCAGTGAATGGGAAGTCTTCAGGGGATAAGTTATCCAAACCAGCGGCCATTTGCGCTTATGACTTGACCCAATGGTCCTAACATGCAGGAACTTCCATAAACAGCCCAGTCAGAAGGCTGCTCAGGATCTGAAAATGCTCCCAACACTGCCCCAGCCACATATCAGCTTTCTCCCACGGTCATGGCCTCCCCATGCGCCCAAAAGATGGATACAGCGTAGGCCTGCCGGGTCGCAGGCTTTCACCAAAAAACCTGTCGTGTATCGGTCCAAAGGGTTTTTCAACTCTTCTGAAAAAAGGTGGGACCAACCCCCTTGCGGGTGCCCAAAGCTTCATCCTGACCTAAGTGCTCATCTATCGCTCAGAAGGGTCTCTTTCATTCCCCGGAAAGACCGGAAAGACATGGTTTTCTTTTGCTTGGTCCAGCCCTGCGTTCGCTGCGTTCCCGGTCTTTTCCTGCTCACCAGCCTGGACCGCGGCGAAATCGGTGGGATTGGCCTCCCAGGCAGCCTGGGCAAGGTGCGACCACGGGAAGCCGGCGAAGCAAGTGAGGGAGGGCCGAGGTGCCTTGATCTAGGTTGGAAGAAGTGATATGAGTGGGCAGATGTGGGGAGTTGCATCCAAATAGACATAGACGTCGTGTGGACAAATATATATATATATATATATTTCTTTTTTTTTTTGTCCGTCTCTTTTCCAGTGCTGGCGAGTCAGCTAAACATCTTCCTCAGATCTTGTGATCCGGGCTTGGTGCACCGCTGCCTGAGCTTGACCGTGACCTCAAAGCGTTCTCCCACCAGCCGCGTTTTCGACTTGCAGCTTTGGCATTCGGCTTGATTGCCGGTGCGCCACATCTGATGAGTTGGATGTCCCATCCAAGCCTCAGGGTCCAAAGGCCCATGATGACAGTAGGAGCCTAGGAATTGGTTGAACTGGTCCTCCCCAGCTCTGGCCAAAATGTAGCACCGACAAACTTGGCAACGAAGGTAGGCTTTGTCAAGCCGAAAGTGATGCTGCCCTGGAGTTGGGGCCTGTTGCATGTCCAGGATGTCATGTATGATCTCGAACCGTGTCTTCTTGGGCTCCTTGGCCAAAATGGCCTGTGAGCAGGGTGCACTGAGGCCCTCTTGAATCTCTTTCAGGAGAGACTTTGTGTGGAAGCGAGTCCCGCAAAGGGAGCACTGGACTCCAGACCTGAAGGCCTGCCACCGATGGCCCAGTCCGTTGGGTTCTTCCGTGAACTTGACCAGTAGGTCTCGCTTCTGCTGAATGAGCGGGATCTTTGCCGGGTTCTCTTGCTTGCTCTTGGCGTGCAAGAAGTGCGATTTGTCACGAAGTAGAGTGTCCATTCGATTGGCTGCCACAAAGAGGACATCTCGAGCGTCTTCGTCCACATGCCGTTGCAAGTCCAGGATGTCTTCCGGTTTGGCCAGGAGGGCGGCCTGAGTGGCCTTGGCCTGTGTGTCCTTCTGAAACATCTTGCGGTTGTGGTTGCTGTCAAGTTCGGTTCCGCTCAGCAGAAGCAGCCTCACTTGATCATAATCTTCCTGTTCTAGACCTTGACACAGGTCTGGGAACTGTTCAAAGGCCACCATCCATGACCAGATTTTCCAAGTGGAGTGCTGGAAGACCGGAACTTGGACCTTGTCATTGATGTGCAAGGAGAGGTGCTTGAGGGCATAAAAGAAGGCTCGTTGCCTGGTGGCCTTGCCCGGACAGATGCCCGTCATGGAAGCTTCTCTTTGCTTGGTGTGGACATTGTGAATGCAAAATGGCAAATACGAAGCGCTTGTGGCGAGGGTCCTTGCAGGTTGGGGCAATGGCAACAGAGAAAGCCTGCCCGGCAGCCACACGCAGAGTCTCCAAGTTCGCCCAGAGGCCCTCTCCATTGAACGTGGCCATGCCCCCATCAGGGATGTAGAAGAGACTCTGTGTCATGCCCCGATTCCAAAGTTCAGGTTCGGCGCCTGCTTGGAGTCTCTCATGCCATTGCGCCAGCAAATCCTTGGCCCGTCCTTTCCAGAAGCTGCATTGCCACAGGAGGTGAATGAAAGTGAGATCATCACCACACACAGGACATGAACCTTCTTGGCCATGGAGAGTTCCCTGATGGAACTCTCAAGGCAGTGCACTGCTGGTCCGTGCACATCTTCTCCATGGTGCGGCTGACTGTCCAATCTAATGGCCTTTCCAAATCGTGGCAGCCCGTGTAGCGGGTTAAACGCAGGAGTCGTTGCCAGCAGGATTCCTCCAGCATCTTGTGATGCAAGGTTGGCCAAGTGGCTTCAAGCTGAAGCTCACAATCAGGAATTCCTCCATACCCGGTGCGTTTCCAGACCTTGCCAGATGAGATGTCAAAGTCGTAGTCCAGCAAATACGCCTGCAAGGCCTGCGTGGGCCCGGTGACCACTTGCCAACGATATTTGGCTTTGAGGAGAAGGTCTAGTGCCGACGACCAGCTGACCCAGAAGAGGTGTTGAGCACTCTCATCAAAGGCATGGTAGGCCTTCCACACTGTGTGGACATGTTGGAGTATGATCGAGTCCCCCGGGTCAACCTTGTTGGGGTTCATGTCGAAGACCACATCAACAGATCCAGACTTTTGGAGGCGTAGTCCTCTGGCCGCCATCACGCGAGTCTGTTGTCGACGTTGTGGAGCCAGCCCGTTGGCCTGTGAGCCCCAGGTCATCACCGGATGGACAGCTCCTCGATGAAGTCGATATTTGATGTGTGGGTTCAACTTCAACCGATGCATGATGCCAGCTCGGCCACGACCTTTGATGAAGCGCTTCTTGATCTGCGTGACCCTCCTGCGTCGGGAGTTCGTGGCGTCGATGCCCAAGTCCCTGAGGACGTTGTAGTGCTTGGGATCAGAGTCTTGCAGATTCTCATCGAGGGCTTTGGCAACCTCTTTGCTGCTCGAGATAAATCCGGTCTTGTCGGAGTTGATCTTCAAGCCAGCTGCCTCCACATGTCTTTTGAGAGATCTGAATGCCATGACAGCTTCCCGAGCCACATAAGAGGCATCAGTGCCTTTGATGTCAAAGGAGACGTCATCCACCCATGTCTGAAGTTGAACGGCAGGGTGATCCTGAACCAGAGCTCGAAGAGGCTTGTAAAGCACCAACTTGGCAATTGCGGGAGCCTGAGGGCAGCCCTGGAGGATGCCCTTCTGATAGTGCTTGGGCTGACCCGAGATGCCTTCAGCTTGAAGAAGCCGTGGCCCGGTATAGAGATCGAGTGCCAGCTTGAGGTGAAGTGGAGGGTAGTGCAAGTCCATGGCCGGCTCAATGATGTGGTCCAAGGTGACGGTGTCGTAGAAGCAAGTGAGGTCTGCTAGGCAGGAGACCGTGAAGACACCCTGGCGCTTGCCAATCTCAGCTCTCAGCATTCTGCCAACAGCAATGGACAGGCAATCTCGATGTGGTCTGGCTTGATCCCATGGCATGTCCTTGTCCAGACCCAACTACCAGCGCTGAAGCTCAAACTTCCGGTACCTGTTCCATAGCCTGTAAAGGCAGGAGGTGAGAGCAATGGGTCTCTCGATCTTTTCATTGTTTGGAATCAGCACGATGTTGGTGTACCGAAGTTGAGTCGGTAGCAGGGCAGTTCTTTCCATCTCAGTGAGAAGCTGCGCCAGTCATTCCACTGCAGGAAAAGGAAGGTGACGAAGGAAGTCATAGGAGACTCCATCAGGGCCAGCTGCTTTGTTGGGGAGTTTCCTCATCAGCTTCTGCAAGATGACGGTATCAAGCGGCTTGAAGGCGGCAGCTTGTGCCTGAGCAAGGCGTCTGAGTTCTTGGAGGCCACGAATGTGTGTGGGCCCTTCAGTTGGACGCCATAGTTCTCCCCATTGAAGCTCTCTTGCCTCAAGCCTTTGGGTGGGCGGCATGTTCTGGAAAGGCCTCTGCCAGGCATGATCTTTCTGCCTCAAGCTACGAAAGAGGCCCCTCAAACCTTTGTCGTGAGCTTTTTCCAGCCATTCCCTGTATTCATGATTGGTGGAGCTGAGGAGCTGCTGTTGCGCAGCATGCTGTTCCTGTTGGATGTGTTGCCTCAAGTTGACAATGTCCTGGGTTGGATGAGTGAGCCAATGCCAGAGTTGGTCACAAAACCCAGCCTGATCCAGTTCTTGTGAGGCATGTTGTGGGATCAAGGCAATCATGTCTTTGAGATCTTGCAGAACCCGAGGGTGGTGTCCATGGGTGAGAACGTTCAATCTCACACTCATCTTCTCCCAGAAAGCCGGGCTGCCCTTCTTCCAAACGCGGGGCCTGTTGGCATCCATCAGCGGCGTTTGCTGATATGAGATGCAAGATCCTCTGCCCGTGGTGGGTCTGTGAAGTAGCTGAGTGACTCAGTGCGTGTGGCCCAACGCGCTAGGTCCGATCCCAAGCCAGTGATGATTTCCCCCAGCATTTCGAAGGGTCCATCAGATTCCTCAAAGGTGATCCAATTGGCCGGTGGAGAAGGAGTTCTGGCTATGGGTGGGAATCTTTGCAACTGCTGCACTGGCAAAGCCGCCCACTCACATTGAAACTTGACATCCAGAGCACAATGTGGCTTCCAAGGGACTTCCCAATTGCGTTGCAGTTGGAGAGCTCCATAGATGGCAGGATGAAGTCCAAGTGGCTTCCTTGGAGTGTGGTGGCTTCGTCTTTGGCCAAGATCTGTGCTCTGAACTTGCTGGGGATTGTAGCCGCGAGGTCTTCAGGACTGTTCTGCCAGTCTCCTCCAATCATGAAAGGGGATTTGAGGTGGCCCAAAAATTGAAGCAGCTGTCCCAAGAGGTCGGCATTTAGAGGTGATTGAAAGGTCTCTCCAGTCTTGAGGTAGATTTGGATGAGAAAGAGGTCACCCCCTTGCCGTTCCATGCGAAGCGCTGTCCATCCGTTGCCTTGTTTAGTGTACGTGTGGACATGATGGATCATGTGCCTGGCCGAGTGTACCGTGAGGAAGCCACCGGTGTTGCCTCCTCGGCCGGTGGGTTCAGCCGGAACTCCATGGCACTTCCAGCCACGAATGGTGAGGTACTGCATGGCGTCGTCAAGGGCCTTCTGAGACAAGTGTGTCTCTTGGAAGAGCATAATGCTATCTCCTTGGTGCCAGAGCCAATCCTGAACTTTACGGCCAAAGGAGGTCACATTGCTATAGATGATGTGCAGGTTCTCCTGGGATTGTCTGGGCTTCTTTGGCATGATGGCTTCGATCTCCACCGCCGTGTCCGGAACCATTTCATCGTCAGGAATCAAAGCAAGCCAGATTTGGGTGATCTCTTTCCTTTGCTGGGTGGAAAGATGTGGAATGGCCTGAGGGTAGGCTTCATCGTCTGCAAGCCAGTGGATGTTGTCCACAGAGAGGATACTTTGGTAGTGGCCTGTTTGATGATCCACCCCTTGGTGCAAGACCATCCCAATCACTTTGTAGGATGCAAGATGAACATGTTGACCATCCTCCGAAAAGGGGAAACTGATTCTGGTTGAAGTCTCAATCTCCCTGTGATGTTTGGTCCAAACGCAGTCAAAGAGAGCGGATCGCTGGATGTGCAGGACCAATCCACCAGGTGAGCCGTACAAGTATTGCCCCCCTCCTTCATGAGCCCATTGATTGACCAAGGAGTCCAGAGAGATGGGTGCATTTCCGTCCGGACACATCAGATTCAATGGGAATTGTTCTCGCTCTTCCACATGGCCTCGAAGATTCCGATGAAAGAATCTGCCTCCAAAGAAAGTCGTGCCCGAGTGGCTCCATAAGTAGTGGACGAAATCAGCCGCATCGGCCTGTTCATCTTGCGTGAACAAGGACCAGATGTTTTGCATGTCCTGAAGCCCTGTGAGGAGCTGAGGTTCTCCATCCGAGAGGTATTGCCTGACTGCAGTGTGGGTGTGGCCCCACGCTTGGTTGGCATCTTCAGCAAAGGCACCTGCCCAGCACCAACATCTCCAAGGCGCATTTCCATAGCATAGGTTCTTGTTGTTCTTGAGGATGCTGGTGAGGCCTTGGGAGATGACATAGATGTTGGCAGCAACGGTTTCCACCTCACCTGGTACACTGAGGTGACGATGAACTAGATTCTGCATCCTCTTGAGGTCTACCAAAAGTTGCTGCCCTTGATGAACTGTGGCATGTTGTGCGTATGCAGTGCAGGACCTTGTGAGGTCTCTTCTGCAGAGTTCGCAAAGAGCCTTCTGCTCATTGGAGAGCAGGGAGTCGTCAATGTCCATGTTCAAGACTCGAGCCAAAGCGAGAACAGTCGAGGTCCCGAAAATAGCAGTCTTCTCACGAAGCTGCTCCGTGGTAGAAGAGCTCGGTGCCTCGTTGTTCTCTTGGCTCAGGGATGCTTCAGTACGTATGATGCGTGCTCCCCCTCTCACTTTGAGAGTGGAACGTTGCGGCCCATACCCCGCCGCGTCAAAAGTCCGGCCCAATCTTGAGCCTGAGTGTAACGTGGTCACAAGAGAAGATTGCATACCCCTGCAAACATCTTGTGAAGTCCCCCAATCATGTCCATCAGAACATGGTGTGTGTCCCCTGTCAGTGAGCTGAGTTATGTCCACATGGCCACGGCTTGCAGTGTTACCCACACGAAGCGTCACTGGGCAAAGTGCGACGACGTTTGGCTTCTTCGTCTGAGATCTCAACTGCTGACTGCGGCCGTTTGAGCATCAGCTGCAACTGCTCTTTTTGCTCAGGCGTGAGAGAGACACCCAAAGTGGTGATGAAACCTGCTACAGCATCCGGAACCGAGTCTTTCATCTCGGTGTCCAGGACATAACTGCCAGGCGGGTGCTCCTCCTTGACCTTGGACATGTAAGCTGCACTTGTGGCATTGAGGGAGGCCTGCTCAAGCTTTTGTTGGAGTTGTTTCATTTCCTCCAACAGTTCTTGGTAGTGTTTCTTGGTGCTGTCAATCTTCTGTTGGAGAACTTGCTTTCGATGCGAGATGTCCCGGAGGTTGGTGACCTGTTGCTTCAGCTGTACCGCCATGTCTTTCTCCGTTGGCGGTTGTGGCTTGGTGATGTTCTCCACCAATTCCTTCACTGGAGCTGGTAGGTTGGCCAGGTTCTCCTTGAGGACATCAGTGAGGTCTGGTTCAACCTGCTTAGGAGTTGGGTTGATGCCAACCTCAATGAGCTTGTTCTTCAAGGTCTCGTCGAGTCCTTCCCAGGCTGGTGCCAGAATGTCTGATGCAGCCTGTTGGAACTTCCCTTGTTTACCCAGCTTGGGCTTGCCCAGACCTGGTGGTGGTGTGGGCGAGCGAGCTTTGAAGGCATTCCATCTGGTCATGTGCTTGCCATGCTGGGTCTTGGAGGCATACCCTTGACTAGGTGTCTTCCAGGGAGTGCCACAGAACCTGCATGTGAAGCCAGCCTGGATCTTATCCTCCCAAATCCAATTTCGACAGCTGCCGCCATTGCAGGTCTGGTAGGTGCGTCCCCACTGCATGAGTGTTGCCTTCGACAGACTCAAAAGAGAGGTGGAAGGAGACGCGTAGTAAGAGCGTGGGCCAGTGCCGTCGAGGATGTCCGTGAGGTGGTGGCTGGCCCAGCTTGAGCAGAAATGGCTTGAGCCATATATATATATATTATATTATATATATATCTGTGTGTGTGTAACTGAACTCTGTAGTCCCACAAGGCAGAGCCCAGCTGCCACGCAAAAGCATCTAAAAAGTATCCAAGAGCCCGGAACCGTCCGTGCTGCGACCCGACCACGACCACGACCCGTTCGCAAGTCTCGTCCAGCCAAGACGGCCTTGAGAGTCTGCAGATTGGTCTCGCCTGGTTCCGGCGACTGGACTCCAGGCATCGGAGGGGGAAGAAACGGTTCTTTTCCCACCCAAGTGCTTTCAAGTCAGGACCTGAGGTCAGCAGTGCGCTAGCAGAAGGCATCAATCGAAGTGGGTGGGCATCATCTGAGTTGAGATTTACTTACCCCAACCCGCCTAGCTCCTGCTGCTTCTGGTCAATCCACAGCATAGCCACGGCTTGCTTCACCTGCCAGTCTTCCCTTAATGACACCAGTCGACAGTGGCATCCTTGGATCAAGCCACAAACGTAACGTCACAACAACCAATGTCGTTTTTGGTGGTCTTTGGATGGTCTCCACTTCAAACAAGGGTTGTCCCAAACGTCTTTTCCACTAGACCTTGCGAAAAGAAACGGAGAACCGGCCATTTCACCTCTGCAATCCCAAAGCCAGCAGCTGCCTGCTCCTTCACAATTCTCATTGATCCTCTTCAATTCTGCAACTCCTAAGACCATACCCCGCGAGGAGTTGCCAACGACCCGCCGCCTCAGGAACACCTCCGTGGCCAGCTGCTTGCAGCTCTTCCAACATCACCTTCGACTGCTGCGCAGCCGTGGGTTCCCTTCGCCTCGGCACGAGACCAAGAACGTTTAGGGAGTCCCAAATGAATAGACAAAGAGAAGCCCCATTCAATACATTGTCTATTGGAACTGGTTTCTATTGACTATATACGCATATATACGCTATATAGTTTCATCAAGTTTCTATCTATATAGTTTCTATCTAAAGGTCCAAAACCAAACGCTCCCTCAGCCCTTCCATTCTTGGGACTTGGTATTACCCACCCACCAAAAAAAGAACCTGCCACACCGACCTCCCCCACGGTGACACCGCCCCGACCGAGGCCCCGCTTGTCCGGCCTCAAGAGGCACCGAGCCCGGCCGGCCAGCGCTCGGACCCGGGCGTCGTTGGGAAGATCGCTGCGGCTCAGGACCTCAGTGGACCGGACCGGTTTCGGTTGACCGGGCACGCTGAGAGCGCTTGAGGGGGAGCCTGGTGGATCTTTTGAGGGGTCCAATGTTCAGAACTTGGTTCTTGAAAAGGCTTTTTCGAGCTGAAGTTCCCCAGCATCTCTTGTTGGGGCATTCTTGGCCGGCCGCACTTTCTGGGGTCCTGCCAGAACACCGGTCCCTCCACCCACCCAACTCACTTCGCCCTGCTCTCTTCGGTCCGCGGGGCCGAGCCAAAGCTCTGCTCGGCCGACGGCAGGTCCTTCCACTCCTGCAGCTCGGCGTCCTGCAGCTGCTCGGTCACCGCCTCGGCCAGATCCACCTGCCGCGCCGGCGAAGGACGTCACTCGAAGGCGGCGGCGAAGCGGAGCGGAGACGCGAGGCGAAGCGGAGGCGAAGCGGAGGCGAAGCAGGGCGGAGCAAGGAGCGGAAGCTTCGAGGAGACACAAAAGCAATCGATCGCTGGGATTGACCCATGTCAACCCAAGCTTGGGCCAGTACCGGTTGAATTGTGTTTGAGTTGGACGGGAGAAAAGCAATGAAACAGCTGAGGTCTTGGTCTTGGGGGTCAACGACCTCTTGGATTTCCCACAGGGTTCAGGACTCTCTTCGTTCAGGTACCATAAGTCCGCTTCAAACCCTGAACCCGAGCACCACTCGCAAGAAATAGGAGCTGCTGCCCCCCGTCTGGATGAGTCTCGATCCTTCTCGGTGTTTGGTCGATGCCTTGAGCCCCAACATCTGAGCCACGTTCTCTACAAAGGCGGTCGCCGTTTGGGGAGACATCTGCTCGAGCGCAGCCACGACCTGGAGACTTGTGGGCGAACATGGAACTTCTCTTTGGTCACATCGCTTCTAGGTTGGAGGCTGTGAATTTGAATGTGTATGTTGACCGAAAGCGTATCCATGGTGTTTGGGCCCGAGACGTGCCCTGATCTTAGATTGTATAGCCTGACGTTCCATCGACCTTGCCGCCATAGCATTGTCGGAAAACCAACGTTTGTGCTCGGATTTGGTTGTGTGAGAAAGGTGACCAGTTGTTGTGTTGGACTTGAGACTCCCTACCGAATTTACATGGTAGCGGAGCCTCTCGCTCCGAGGGGCTTGTGGTGTTGAGTTTTACATTGTTGAAGCTGACATTGAACTGTTGTGCATTGGTGTTGCAGGGAGCGACATTTAGCATTGTACATTGGTTGTTGGCGACAACATTGTTTGGGGAGTGGGCTCAATGAATATTCCAGAGGAATATGAGGGGATGATCGATCCAAAGTTTCCGTGGTGGGACGGAAATTGGAGTACCTACGAGGACTACAAGATCCGAGTGGAGTTACGGGCAGACGCCTGCAAGACAGAAGATCTGCCATATCTAGGACCTCGATTGGCAGCCAATTTGGTGGGCAAGGCATTTGAAACGCTGGGTGAAGTCAAAAGAGAGCAGTTGAAAAAGGCTGAGGGATGGCATTATTTGTTGACCTTTTTGGAAGACACAAGGGGTCGTGCAAAAGTGGACATTTTGGGTGATACATTTACAGAGTTTTTCCTGCGCAAAGAAGCTTGCCGACGGGATGGTGAGGAGATCAATGATTACGAGACAAGGTTCAAGACACTTATGCGTCGGATGGAGCGAGCGATTGCAGAGACAAACTCAAGTGCAAAGATGCCACCTGAGGTGTACGGGTGGTTCCTTCTGAATGTCTTCATGAGGATGTCGCCCTCCGATACAGCCAACATTCGTGGAAAGGCCAGTTCCTACAAGGTTGACGATGTCCTGACAGCCCTCAGGTTGATGTGGAGTAGTGGAGGTCTGGGAAGTCGTGATGCCGAACTCCGACCAAAGAAGACCCATGCTACAGGACAAGCTTATCATCAAGATGAGGTGATCGACAAACCTGAGGCTGACATGGATGGAGAAGAGACCGAGGAGATCTTTGAACTGGAAGAATGGTGTGAAGACGCCACCGCAGAGCTGCTCGCAGATACAGAGGATAGTGCAGAAGTTTTGGCCAATTTCAAGGAAGCTCGACGAGCCTTGGATCAAGCTAGAACAGCACGTGGCTTCTATCCAGTGAAACCTCCTGGACAAGGACAGTTCAGGGGAAAGGCAAGTCAGTCGATGCGTTCATTCACAAGAAGCAAAGCACCAACATCAGATGCTGAGCGATTGGGAAGCGAATCTGTTTTCGCTGTGGGAAAAAGGGGCATACAGCAAAGCGTTGTCCACAAAAACCAGCAAGCAGTGGGAGCAACAGCATTGGATATGTGGGTTGGTGCAATGATGACAATTCATCATCATCCACTGAGGCACATCCGGAGGTTCGGATCATGACCAACGTGCCAATCAGTGAGACCGTCAATGGGAACATGACCCCAACACCGGAAGAGGTCACCAATGACCCGTCGTGGGTGTTGTGTTCTCAGGAGGCGGCAACCGGACAGGTCTTGGCACTACAGCCAGCCGCATTTCGAGGGAAGGCCATCGTGGATTCAGGAGCTTCAGACAACATTGTGGGTGCAGAGACACTACAAGAGTTGGCGGAATGTTTGGAAGAACTGGAATTCGATCCACAGACAGAGATTGTTGTTGACAGACAGATCCACAAACGATTTGTTTTTGGAAATGGAGAGTCATCAGCTGGGTTGGGCTTGTCACATGTGAATGCAGGTATTTGTGGCAAAGAGGTGACGATCCAATCACATCTGGTTGAAGGAAAGACGCCATTTCTGCTGTCATCCAAGTTCCTCTATGACATGGATGCAACCATCAACTTCCGGACAGGCAAAGCCGTGTTTCTGAAGCTGAGTGATCGACAAGTACAGTTGGAGCGCACAGAGAGCAACCATCTGATGCTTCCCTTGACGGCTTTCGCTGGTCATTATGACGCGCTGCAAGAGCTGTTTGTGAAAGAAGAAGACATCGACCAGGCAGTCCACACCTTGAGCCGGAAAGATGCCGACTTGCCGCACAAGACGGCCAGTGTAGATGTAGAGAAGGCCTTCGATGAGGCCGACACTGGAGATCAGGGCACGGTGGACGAGTAGGAACAGCTCCACCAAGGCTGCAATGGACAAGCTGATCTGAGCTTGATAGCCTTGAGTGGAATTGATTTTAAGGAAGATGGAAACGCTGTGACTCATCAAGAATGTTTGGTTGAAACGAGTTGTGATCAGGATTACCCGGAAAGCATACTCCACACGAAACAGCACAACAAGATGTTGAAACATGTTGAAAACAACGTTCATGAAGGTGACAGGACATTTGAAGGCTTGGTGGGAGGTCATCGAATTGATTTGATAGAAGTGTGTGCTCCTTGGGATAGTCCTTTGTGCCAGGCTGTCAGGGAGTTGGGAGGTACTGCACTTGCACTCGGGATACACAATGGTTATGATCTCACCACACAGGAAGGCTACAGGAAGGCTATTTCAACTATTCGTGAGTTGAGGCCAAGGTACCTACATGTATCACCACCATGTTTCCTGTGGAGTTCATTCCAGAATTGCACAAAACGAAACGAACAACAAAGACAAGAGTTTGAACACATGAGATGCAGCAGCAAGCGACTGATCACCAGGTGCGCACGTTTGCTGGAAATTCAACTTAAGGAATTGGACGGCCAAGGTGGGCACAGTGACACCTTCCATGGTGGAGGTGAACACCCGCTCAGAGCACAGAGTTGGAGAGCCACGAACATGGGTCACATGGCTAGGATGTGTGGGGGGAGGTTCACGGTTCATGGATGTTGTCATGGAATGATTGACCCCCAATCACGTAAACTCATTAGAAAACCATGGGGCTGGTTTAGTACTCTAGTGGGTGTGAGAGACGCTTTGGAAAGTAAGTAATCACATGATCATGAGATGCACATTCCAGTGGAAGGCGCACTGACAGCACAGACAGCTGTCTATCCTAGACAACTGTGCACACGTTTTGCGAAGGCCATTTTGAAACCAGTTCAAGCTCGCTGTTTGCATGTGTCATTTGAGAAATCATCCAATGTTTTGGCAAATGACAGTCAAGACTATTGGAGCCAGGACCGTGGATACTTGATCCGACATCACGTCATGCCTCGTTCGCAGGTGTTCAAACCACATGAGGTAGATACTCCTGTTGAGTTGGAGAAGATTTCATCTTGGCGCCGAACAGTGGCTGAATTCTCAGATGGACATAGGATTGATCACGACGACAATTGGAGAGAGCCTGGAGAACATCCTGTGGAACATGACAACACACACGGACAATGGACTGGGACCACTCAGTTCAAGATATTGCAAGATCTTGTACTAGACGAGCAAAACCAAGATGTTGACACACGAACGATGAACCAAATAAGACTTATTCATCGAAACCTTGGACACCCTAACACTCAAGTCATGAAACGCATGTTCAAAGATGCAGGTGTGCCTCCAGCTGTCTTGAAGCAGGTTGAAAATTTTCGCTGTGACCACTGTTTGCAGAGAGGACGCGGAGCTCCTTGTCATCCGGCCACGCCTCCTCCCATTAGAAACAAATGGGAATGTGTGAGTGTTGACACTTTTTGGTGGCATGTTCCAAAGGAGTTGCTTGCGGACGGACAGAAGGGACAACATGTTGTGGGTATTTCCTTGTTTGATGAAGCGACCGACTACCACAATATTCGTGTTGTGAGAAACGGAGAGAAACCACAACACTCGATTTCAGGAAAAGAGTTCAAAGAGGGCTTCTCGGACGGGTGGATTCGCCGGTTTCCCATCCCCCAGAAATTGAGGTATGATGAAGAGGGTTATATGAGGGGTGTGGATTTAGTGAGTTGGTTAGAAAGTCTTGGGATGAAAATGGAACCCATCAGTGGAGAGAGCGCTTGGCAGATGGGCAAACATTCAAGACACCTCCAGATTTTGAAGGAGAATGCCAATTTGTTGGCTTATGAACTTGGACCGAACACTGACGCCCGTGAACTGCTGAACCTCGCTGTCATGGCTAAGAATGAAGTGCATAATGTGAGGGGCTACACGCCTAATCAATGGCAGTTTGGAGCTAACCACGGACGAATCAGTTCCTTCTTGAAATTTGACGGACATCTACCCTGGGAAAGCCAGAGGGAAGACACCAGCCTGAAAAGAGAAGCCGCAGCCAGGAAACTGTTCATTGAGGCAGATTCGCAACGCCGTCTTCAACGGGCACTGCGAGCGCAAAGTCGACCCCTGAGAGAATATACTCTAGGACAACTTGTTTATTACTATAGAAGAGATAGAAAAGAAGGTACTAGAGTAGGAGGTCGATGGCATGGTCCTGGTCGTGTGCTGTGTCATGAGAAGAGTTCAGAGCAAGTTTTGACGAATCATCCCGGATCGATCGTTTGGGTAAGTCATGCTGGTTTTCTTCTTCGATGTTCACCCGAACAACTGAGACCCGTGACACAAGATGTGCAGAAGATTGATTTAGAAATAAACGGACCAGCTGATTTCGAGACAATGTATCAAACTTTGAGAAAGCAACAAAAATTTCATGATTTGGCAATTGAAGATTGTGAGATGCCAACACAGTCACCTGAGGAATGTGTGCCCCGATTCCGATGCTCAAGCAAGAGATCTTTGACGGTTGAACAGCCTCCAGATTGGGAACCACCTGATTTGACCACCAGCCATGAGCGGAACTGGAAGCAAGCCAGAGCCGACTCTCAAGGAGAACCTCGAGAAGTTGAAGAAGATGGGCAACAAGATCACCACCAAAGAAATGGTGGAACGAGCTCAGACCATGCCAATGGCAGACCTGAAGACATGGAAGATCGACTTCGGGAAGCACAAGGGTCTGACCTTCGAAGAAGCAGCTCTGGAACCGGGTTACGCGGAATGGGTGGCGGCTCACGTGGATCCCTCAAAGAGCAACCCGACCATGCAGATGTTTGTGATCTACCTGACACGTCGAACACAGAAGCTGGTGGATCAGATGGAAAACAAGGAGGGTTACGGGGGACAAAAAGAGAGTCACCACATGATGACAGAGTGGAGCAAGAAGCGTGGCGAGATGGATGCGCTCTTCGACGAGAAGATCGAGCAGGGCGACTTCGATGCCTGGACGAAGGTGACAACAGAGGAAACAACCCCAGAAGTTCAGAAACTGCAGGAAGACTCAGCCATGATGCAGATGCGCATGAGTCACATCGAAATGTTGATCACCCAGATCGCAGAGAAACTGAACATCGGGTAGAGAATCCTCAAAGAAGGCATAGGAGTAGAACTCCGTATAGAGATTCTCCCACTATAAGACCGGAAGAAGCGGCAAGTGCTTCAAGGCCGGTCCTTCAGACCATACCTGAGGATCACGAGAAAAGAATGGATGTGCTGTTTTTGCAAGCTTGTCAATCAACTGAAGTGGTTGAGATTCATTTGACAGTAGCGGCTAGAGACGTTCATTTTCAGAAAGGCATTTGGGTCCTGAATCAAAAGGCAAAAAGGAATGCTGAGGTTTGTCTTCGAAAGTTGTCAGCAGAAGACAGGAAAGAGTTTGAAACGGCTATGGGAAACGAAATTGACTCTTTCACAAACAACAGTGCTGTTGAGATTTGCACACGTGCTGGCATTCCACATGAACGCATTCTAGGTATGAGATGGGTTTTGGTTTGGAAGCCTGTTGTGAATGAAGATGGAGTCCAAACTGGAAGAAAAGCTAAAGCTAGGTTGATTTTGAAGGGGTATATGGACCCTGAATTGTTGACCGTCCCACGTGAAGCTGCGACTTTGAGTACCTTGGGACGAAATGCGATTTTTGCATTGGCTGCTCAAAGGCAATTCAAGCTGTACATTGGCGACATCAAAACAGCTTATTTAAACGGAGACCAAACTGAACTGGAGAGACAGATTTGGGCGGAACCACCTGAGGAAGTCAAACAATATTTGAACATGAAACCTCATGAACTCTGGCGTGTTGCCAAAGCCGTGTACGGTTTGTGCCATGCTCCTCGTAAGTGGTTTGAAAAATTACAATCCGTATTATGGAGTCAAGGATGGCAATCACATCAGCTTGACCAGTGCGTGTTTCTGATGACCAATCCTGACACCCAGGAGATCTGCGGATACTTAGGTGCTCATGTTGACGACCTGATTGTGGCAGGTGCTGGACCATATTTCGACCAACAGGTGCAGAAACTCCGACAGTCATTTCCTTTTGGAAGTTGGGATTGTGCTCAAGACAAGAATATTAAGTTCTGTGGCTGTGACATTTTTCAGACTGCGGAATATGATATTCTGGTGAACCAAGAGAGTTTTTCCTTGGCAATTGATGAGATCAATTTGACTCGAGAACGAAAATTACAGAAACATGATACGGTGACACTTGCAGAGAAGTCTGAAATGCGAAGGGCGCTAGGTGCTTTGAACTGGAGAGCAGTGCAGACATGTCCTTGGCTTCTTTCAACGGTGTCCCACCTTCAAGGTTGCGTAGAAAGTGCTACAGTGAATGATTTGCTTGAAACAAACAAGGCAATTCGTTGGCAGAGAAGACACAGTCATGTTAAATTGAGCTTTCCACATCAAGTGCAAGACTGTATGGTGTTGACATTTTGTGACGCGTCTTGGGCGACCCGTCGTGACGGCAGTTCACAGGGTGGATCCATTACCATCCTGATGAATAAGGAAGTTTTGTCCGGAAAACTTTGCCACTTTTCAGTGTTGACTTGGACGAGCCGGCGACTCAGACGTATTGCAAGATCTTCAACCAGTGCCGAAGTTCAAATGACCGGAAACGGTTTAGACGAGCATGAGTTTGTCAAATTGTTCATGTACATGATGATGAATTCCGGAAAGATTGATTTGAGAAACGCTGACCCAATTTTGGCAAAAGAAGAATCATGCATACTCAGTGATGCAAAGAATGTGTATGATGCTTTGGAGCGTGTACAAACATGTGGCTTACAAATGGAGGAGAGAAGGTCCTCTATCGAGGTTTTGGGAATCAAGGAGAGGCTGAACCAGACCAATGTGAAATGTCGGTGGGTGTCTGGGGATCAGGAACTTGCTGATGGCCTTACAAAACCTTGGAAAGGTGAGCAACTGATTCAAGCTTTGAATCAAACCACTTGGAGGATCATGTTCGATCCGACTTTTGTTTCTGGCAAAAAGCGAAAACAGTTGAAACAAGTGGAAGCGAAGTACGGTGATCCCGATTGGATGAACCTTGTGTGCAATTTAGATGAGTCACATTTCGGTCAAGAAAACTTTTGGACCGGTGTGAATTTGAATGTGTATGTTGACCGAAAGCGTATCCATGGTGTTTGGGCCCGAGACGTGCCCTGATCTTAGATTGTATAGCCTGACGTTCCATCGACCTTGCCGCCATAGCATTGTCGGAAAACCAACGTTTGTGCTCGGATTTGGTTGTGTGAGAAAGGTGACCAGTTGTTGTGTTGGACTTGAGACTCCCTACCGAATTTACAGAGGCCATCGCTATTATGTCACATCTCTCCCTGCAGAATGTTCTGTCCCACAAAATCCGAAACTTCCAGAGTCGCCAGTCCAGCGAGCAAGGCACATCATAGGCAACAGGTTGCAGGAAAGTTTGAGTGGTTCACCAGCATGTTTGGGCCAGCGCGCCGGGGTGTCCTACAACCAGCTCCCAAACCTGCCACCAAATCACTGCTAGTTAGCAACAATCTGGAAAGCATCGCCGCAGCTGTTCCCACCCACCAATCCATGTGGAATGTGGAAAACCTCCCAAACTGTCAGGCAATCTTGCGCCAGGTCGCCTGGCCCTTGGCCATAAGCAGCAAAGTGGGCGAGGAGACGATCTGTAGAGCTTCACAGACTTGGGGCAAGGCGCTGCAATTGAGTCTCACCAGTGGCAAGCGTCCTAATGAGGCAGTCAAGACGCATCGACACCAAGCAACGTCGTCGACATCTGTCATGTGTTGCGCACACGATCCAAAAATCCAGACAAAAGGAAGCAACACATGAGGGTCACTCAAGTTGCGCAGCTCAGGATTCACCCACCTCCGAGAACGATTCAAAGTGCGTGCAGCGACGTCCGACGTTTCTTCAAAACGGAATGGTCTGAGGGTTTATCTTCTTTCTATATAATTAGTCTTCCTTCCGCTTGGACGCTTGTCGCAACTTGGTGGATTTGCAACCGACCGTGATGGAACAAAAAGAGCCTTCGACAGGACAAACTCGACAACACAACGGTCAAGAAACAAAAACAACAATGGAAATCCGTCCTGGCACTCAGCACAAATCAGAATCAGGAGGATCAAGACTTGTACCATCAACTCCCTTGCACCTCTGGACAACCTCACCCTCGCGATGCAAAGCGACACCGAAAACCAGTCATCACGTGTCATAGCCGCACCTTGCGCAGCCTTCCTCAAGCCGGCGACCTTTTTGGTCACTTGCTTGTCCAGCTCCCCCACCAGCAGCAGGAAAGGATTTCCACTTTGCAGGACCTGCACTCCGGTAGAGAGGCCGGTAGAGAGGGGAATGGATGGAAGATGATGGAAGCAAAGGTCTGAGATCTGTCTCCAGAACATCAGCCACTCAAGTTCAACACCAAGGAACGATGCAACCACAATATATACCAGGGTTGCCTTGGGTCACGGGAGCCTTTGCCTCAGCACCACGCGCCTGCGCCGCATTCTCGGGTGAAAGCTCCAAGTCCGGGCCGCCGTCAGCAGAAGTGGAGCTTGTCAGTGGTGCGCCACTAGGACTCACCAACAAAGGTCCTGCATGGCCATCTGACCTAAACAGTGCCATTGAGTTTCGAAGGAGCACTTGAATTTCTATGAATTTCTTGGAACTGTCATCGCTCAAAGCTACGAAATCCCCCGTTTCTTGCCAAACAACATGTCTCCCAAACTCCGGTCCACTGCTCCTTGCTGCTTGGCCGCACTGGCGCACCGGACGCGCAAAGCGCGCGGGCGCCAGTCCGTCGGCGCCCGTCCAGCCACGCCCCATGGTGGGGCCTTTCGGGCGAGCGCCGTGAGCGGCCGGAGGCGCATGGCGTGACTTGGAGCCAAACCGCAGAGGTCAAACCCCATGGCGACCGGCTCCGCAGACCCTTGTGGACCCCCACGACCTTGGAAGAGAAACAAGGGAACACGAGTGAGACTTGTTCGTAAAGGAGTGTCAGCAATTTGCCCTTGGTAGGTTTGGGATGCAAAGAAGAAGAAATCCACAAAACTGGACCGACTGGGTCAGGGTGTGTAAATTCGCATCATCCATTTGTGCCGATCAGCCGATCCACCGTCGATACACTTGATGCCACAGCCACAGCCACCAGCGTTTTGTGGGGTCAAAGGGATACCACTTTTCGTACAGCAAGCTGCGCCAAAAAAGCACCGTGTTTTATTATTGCACCTTCGGTGGGTGATGCTAGTAGAGGAGGAGTCAAAACCGGGATACATTGGTTGACCAGGCGACCGGCAGGTCAAGCTGTATGGTGCTGGGGCTCTAAGTGTTGGCAGATTCCCATACAAATATTTCAAGAACGTCACTCTTTTCCATTGTCCGCTTGGGTCGCCATGGCTCCCCGATCTGATTCGTTCGTCTTTTGCCACACCACCCGGGGAAGGTGGGTCAGCCGAAATCCAGATCGTGACGGTTCAGTCCCATGTGCAAAAGGAGCCATCATGCAGATTTCCGGCAAGCTTGGATGATGTGCAGACGCCGGTTCAATGGTTTTCCTTTGTGTTTTCATGTGTCAGCTGATCGTCTCAGCTGAAGTGAAACCTCGGTCAGTCCGCCCCCTCAGCGAGCGGTCTCATTGTTGGCACAGCCCACCCAGGAGCAGTGCTGGCCTCACAGGATGAGTCCGAGGATTGTCCAAAAGAGACCTATCAAACCCACTGGCTCTACAACCGAAAACCCACTGGCTCTATTCGCGGGGAGAGCTTGAAACCAGACCTCGTTCTGTGACATTTTGTCCAAATGTCGAGTGCGGCGGGGACTTCTTAGGAACTGAGGCTCCCACAAAAGTGAATGTCGCAGTCTGCCAGGCCCATAATGCAGGCCACCGACCTTGAAGCGAAATCAGGTCAACGATACACATTGAAAGGACCTCCATGACAAACCAATACAAGCCACAGGAAAGACCTATACCACACTTGAGCATACCCCATAAACCGTCAGCCCTCTTTCAGAGACTCCACCCGAAACTCTGAAACATGTTTCAGCTCAAGAATGGTCATTTGACACTCAGTCCGAGCCACGGAATGTTCATATATCTGGGATCCTCCTTCCACTTGTGCACCTCAGCCGTCGGTGAGGCTTGGCCGAGGACCTTCGGACACCGTTTTCGTCGTCGTCGTCGTCGTGGTCGTCGTCCTCTCCGGCACCGCTGAGGGTGCGGCCCCGGACAAGAAGTTCAACACAAGCTGCTTCTTGCTGAGGCCTCGGTAGACGCGGCAGTCCCTTTGGGGCCAAGCCGTGGAGGTCATGATTCAATGTCAGTGGAGTTGGTGGCCCAAACCACAGAGATCCACATTCTATAGATGCCAAATGCTGTGTTCATGGCTCCATTCCCGACGTGGGGGGCAACAAACGATGAACTCTATACTGCTAACCCTGGCAAAACACATGGAGGACTGACGGCATGGACTCTGACAATCAAAGGATCTCAGTCCTTGGGCTCTAGCTACCGCAAAGCCCTTTCAGCGTATAGGCGGATCCTGAGGCGGATCCAGCACCCGCAAGCGCGTCGCGCTTGCGGTTTCCGCAGAACCGAGTGGGGTCGGGAGGTCGTCGCTCTCGGGACATCTGGAGTAGGCAACGGCGCCCTTGACGAGCACGGAATGCTGTCGGCCCACTGAGTTCAGTGGCCAACTTCGGCTTTGCAGAGGTTCTCCACCTTCATGGTGCCCCAATTGATCCTCAGCCAGGCGCACAAGGCTTGTTGGAGCGGCCGTGGGCACGGGCCGCGCTCTTCTACCCGCCAATCTGAAGCACCAAAGGCCTAGAGGTCCAGGAGTTGGATCTTTGGATCTAGAGGACGACCCAAAGCGAATATAGACCTTCTCTCAGGAGAAAAATACGGTGGCCCAACACCAAAAATGGTGGACACGGTGGAGACGCAAGACCTGAGCTGCAGACCCAGAGTTGTGGGTGCCACAATAGTAGCCTCAGATGGGTCCGAACGGGCCGAAATGCCGGTCCGGACAACCCGCTGGGCCCACCCACCGGTGAGTGTGTCCTTTTCCACCGGTTGGACTCCAAGCATTTCCTTCAAGAGGATTCCCACCCAAAGCAGAGCAACAAAGTCCAAACCACGGAGGGTCTGTTGGACCAACTGCATCAAACTGCCCCTTTCGCAACGCTGGGGGTCATCTACGACCTTGCAGACTCGCCGGAACGGAACACCGCGTTCGGAACACGGCGTTCGGAACGCGCACTCCACTCTTCGGCAGCAGCTCGGTGCATCCAAGCGTCGGTCAGTTGGAACACCATTCAGCAGCTTTTGGCGATCAGCCTTCGCACACCTCAGAGAACGTTCGTTTGAAACACCGGCGGACCTAGCGGACCATCCGTGGTCAAGAGCCTGGTTTCGGCCCATCATAAGAACGACCCAATGTCATGTGCGAGTCCAACCTTCGCCCCAAAAGGCCTACGACCGGAAGCAGCTCCATGTCCCCTCGAAAAAACGCCGGTCTGGGCCCCGCCACGCTTTCTTGGTGTACTGCTCCATGTCCCCACTCTGGCAAATCCTCGGATGCGAAACACCCGCAACGGAGCACCGCACCGGTGCCCGGAGGCGCCGGGGTTTGGACATGCGCGGAATGAAAGCAAGCCAAAAACCGGGCAAGAGGCTGGTAGAGCTGCTCGTTCTCAGCGTTGGTATTCTTCAACTGGCAAACCACACAACCAGTTGATGCTTTCGACACTGGAAAGCCGCCTGAAGCACCGTCTCATGCTGGCATGAATCAATTTCACCCAGAATTTCAAACACCAACTGGTCGAGTCTGCCCAATCTTCCAACTGCAACCAATGCCCTGTCTAGTCCGTCTTCCTGCCGGCGCGTTGAAAAAACACCACCCCAGAACTAGATGTGGGCCAGACCAAGTTAAAGGCCGTTCTTGGAGTCCAACACTTGAGAGAGGAGGGGGTGAACGAAAGGTAGCAGGCAATCACGAGTAACCCTGGTAGAAGTCCACGACGGCGTGAACCGGCGCAGGGGGGATTTGATCCAGGGGGGGGGGGGGCCCCCCCCCCCCGACGAACAGAATCAACTCTTACAGGACCAAATTCAATGCACAATCCCAACTCCTGATTGTAATACATTTTTGCTAAAGCAAGGAGAACTCAGGTAGCTCAAGCTACCTTTCGTGACATGTTGTTGGAGACTGCACCCTTCCAGAATGCCTTTCAATCGGGTGCCACCACTGCATGCCGTTTCACTGAGAACGGCAAGGGGACACTTCCGGGATCCACTGTCACTGCCCCGCTTCACCTCAGTTCGACCACTGTTCAACCCCCCTGAGTTGTCGGGGTCGCCAAGGACACGCCAGAATGGCATACCTGCCAATCAGCTCATGCACACTCGCCCACACTGGATCCGACTCGTCCTGCGAGCCCCCGGGTCGGCTTTTCGTGTCGTCGGCTAGGCAGATCGGTTCTTTCCGGCGAATCCATCGAAGTGGATTCGAAGATGGAACGCAGTTGAATCTTGATAGAGTCCAAAGCCACGTCTTGTTCTGCAAGGGACTTCTCACAGTTGGTTCCCCTAGTTCGTTCGGGAGAAAGGACAATTTTGCGCAGAGCACATGCGGGAACAGACCAACGACCCCAAAATGGACACTAATGCACAAGGGCTCTTGCTTCGCAGCTCTCGTTGGCCCAGCAGTCAGTCGAAGCAAAAACGTCCTTTCCAGTGTTTACCATCTGCAGGACAGGCCTGAGTTCATGGACTCCCTGTGATGCCAAAAGCAACAAACTTTACGATATGATATGATCAAGAACTCTACAAAAGCTCTGCAATTCTCACTCTATATATCTTAATGTTGGATCCTGATTAGTAAATAGGTCCTCTATAATGCTAATTTTTCCAAATTTATTCAGACCCCCCTGTTTGAAAAAATGGTACCTCTATAATGCTAATTTTTTTTGGGGCCCTAAATTTTTATATTGGAAACCCAATTAATAAGGGTTTGAATTCCTTCTGAACCCTGTCCACCTGCACTCCCCCCTCCCTTCCCAGGCAAGCAGCCAGCAGCAAAGCAAAACACATACAAACAGACCACCAACAAGATGTTCAATTACAAAAGATCCCTCACCAGGAATCCAGATTTGTTTTGGTGATAGTTTATTATAGAGGACCCCCTGTTTGTTTGAGGGGGGGGCGGGGGGGGCCCTATTTACTAATCAGGCGCCAACATTATTCTGTCTGTCTACTTTGAAGCCTTGGAGGTGTTGCAGGCCCTGCATCTGACAACAAATTGGATATCTGGCTGGCAAGCAGCGCCTAGTGAAAACGCCACGATTTCTGCTCAGCTTTGGGCCACAGATCATTGGCCTCCTGAAACCAAAAAAGACTGCGCAGTACGAAGAGACTGCTCGTCGTTCGTCGTTCGTTTTTTTGAGTCGTTGAAAAAATGGAGACTGCCACGTTCGAGGTGTAAAACATCCAAACGTCATCAAACTTGCCTCACAGCTTCGTGTGTTTGTCGGTCGAATGGGTCGCTGAAAACCCATGCGACGCCATGCCTCAGGGATCTCTGTCAGGTTGGCAACCACACTGTCAGACCTCAGAACTCGTCTCGGGTACTGGCACTTCTTTCAGAAGCTCCTGGAAGACCAAGAATTCCAGAGGACGAGTTGATGAGAATGCTGTTCTGATTCCGAAGACTGAACAGTGGCCCCAGTTTCACGGTCCAACAGCTGAAACATCGTGGCAGTTTCTGCTTGGTGTAGTTTCTACTGCAGAGAGACGGAGGAAGTGTCTCGTCACTCGCCACAGTTCTGCCTTCCACTGCAGTTCCACTGGGGTTCTGCTCCCTTTTTGTTCACTCAGTTCCTGGGGTTCAAGAATCCTCTCCAACCTTGCAGAGGTCCTCATCTTCTAAGTGTGTGTATCTATATATATAGGTTGTTGTGTCAGGAACTGGAGTGCTATGAAGTTCAAACTGAGAAACAGGCTGTGAGCCCTCTTCTGCTTCTTTCAGACGACTCAGCAAACCTGGTTCACAAACATCTGAGACATTAAAGACAAAAAATATATAACTAATAACAATAATAAACATCAGGGTTACGAGTCGGAGCGACTGTTTGAGGCACACTTTCTCAAAAAGACCAGACCTATCAGACCTGTGACTTCATCCTACGGGCTGACTTCTCTGGATTCCAAGTCCGTCGACACCACCGTGCACGTGGGTAGAAGGGCACTCTGGGTTCACGGCTGTGCATGCCAGGCGGAAGCCGAGCCTGGCAGAGTCCAGTTGACCCAGGGCCGCCAGTTTACCCACGGCAAAGACCAGTCGCCAACCCTGAAGGTGCCGTCCGACCGCCACTCGGTACCCATATTCTGATCTTCTGCACGACTGATATGCCTGATCCCTGCGCACCAGTCGTCAAGACCTTCAGTCCTCCGACATGTGACGACTGGTGCGACCTGGGGGGCCTCTCTTTCTCTCTGAAGAGGTTGGATGGAGTGAAGTGTAACTCCCACAAACCGCCCGACGGGTCCACTCGTCCGCGTCGCCTCTAGGAGGCTCATGGCCGTTGACACCCGTGACTGATGAAGATTGGCCTTGCTGAAAATCGCGAAACACCCCGAGCAGTCCGAAGGATGTGGGGTGGTTCATGCAAAGGCCAAGGATCAGGCTTGCAAAAGAAGGGTTGAAGTAGCTATCGCCTCATCCTGCGAGTGATGGATGAACACAAAACTCGCCTGCTCTAACTCACTCTCTGTCTCTCTCTCTCTCTCTCTGCAATCTCGCTCCTCCACTGCAAGAAGCTCCTCTGACTCTGAACATCTTGAGTCGGCCTTCAAAGACTTGCAAAGACTTGCAACAATTGAAAACATCTAAAAATTGACTGTGACTGATCATCCACATGTTCTCCACCCGGACATCCAGTTCCGATCTTTGGACCTCAAAAACATGTTACAAAACATCCGTGGTGAACGATGGATGCCAAATCTTGAATCGTTATGCATACACCACGGATGTCCGGAAATTTCTCCATGATTTGGTGATGGAAAAAACACCAAAAATCAGAGCGCACCTGGCACAAACTTGCTGCACAAAGTCTGGCAAGGCCTGTGCAAAGCATGAACGAAGTCTGCCTCTGCGAAGTATTCCCCTGGCCGCCTGCGACTTGGCAAATTCTGAGCAAGGCCTCAGAACAAGAAACGCATCAAAATATCGAAAACGTCCAAAAAAAACATGCGGCATCTGACCCAACCAACCTGGATCGGACCCAACAAATCACTGATTCTAATCTTTTGAAAGCTTCGACATCTTTTGAATTATACACCAATGCCGTTTGCAGAGCGAAGCAAGAGGCCACGGCCATGACTGTCATGAGCCCGTTTCAACCCAGCAACCACAGGTCTGCCTCCCGTGTCAGGCGGGAATGGGCAGGTGTTCCCACAACAGAATTTAAAAAATGCATTTTCGACTGATGAGATCTGATGAGCACATGGGTATACCGTAGTATACCCTTATTTGACACTGCAAAGTGCTACAAATGTTTCCGGCCAAGTGTGTGCATCAAAAATCCAATTTTTTGTTCGGGCACCTGTGCTTCAGCTGCGTTGATCGATGTACACAAAGGCCGGCATTGAGAGTTTCCAATGACTTGAGCCTACAACAAAAAACACGCCATGGGCAGTCTGACACCTCCGTTCGGAAGAATCTTCGACCGACTTCGAACGCGAAGCATGGGCACAGCTCCAAAAACTGCCACGGAAACCAAGCTCCAAGAACTGTCCATGGGCCATGGGCCATAAATCTTGCAAACGGACCCACAACACCACGAAACCTGGACCCAAGACTTGTTGCAGCAAATTAAGCAACTAATTTTGTGTGAAAAAACAACGCAGGCGGTGAATTTTGTCCTTCAAAACTCGCATTGCTGATCATTTCCAAAGCTCCACCTTCTTGGGGGGCACACAGCAAGGTGTCAATTCACAGAGCAAAAGCAACCAAACTGTGGCAAGAGTTCCCAGTCCCGATGGCGACACAACAACGCATTTGTTGATATGTTTCGTGGATTCAGCTTGCACTACACGTCCAATAGATGTACTGTAGTCACATGGAGTCAAGTTCACAGTGGTGATCACAAACACTGGCGTGCGCGGCAAAAACCCATGTCTACCCTCTTTCAACGCATGCATCACCAAGTCCTGAAAATCAAGGCTACCAAGAGGCAATGAAGTCCCCGCCCAAAGGTCATACGTCATACCGCCGAAGTGGCCCCGTATTCATGGCAAGTGCCAAAACTGTCAGAAAAAAATGGGATATGCTTTCAAGATGGGACAGCCTTTGTGTTGCATCAACAATGTCACTCCAACGCAAAACTGACAAAGAATTTCCCATCACCAAAACACCAACCCCCAAACCGAGAGGTGGGGCCCAACCACCAAACAAAACCACCCCCCAAATATGGAACAAATGTGAGATCCTGATCCGTTGCACTTTATATACGTCTGGGTTTGGACAGGCTATCTTCATTGGGCGTTGCCCAAATGCAAGGCATCAGCCATCTGCTGACAAAGGACAGCAGCCTCCCCTGCAAATAGTGAAACGCAAAGCCTGAACGCCGCATCTTGGGCGATCTTCAGTTCGGACATTTTTGCGCACAGGCGATTGCATCAACAATTGCACCTAGAGTGACGCTGCCAAGGCAAAGCAAAGAAACCCCTGCAAAAATATGCACCCTGGGGCAAAAAAACCTGAGGGACAATCCAGCAAACCACTGCTTCGTGCCATCTTCGCCCCTCAACCTCAAAGCGCGGAGGTCAGGCCTCTCACCACTTGGAAGTGCACAGGAAAACAAGAACAGTGAAAAAGGGGAAACGGACCTGCGGGTGAAACGGAAGCCGGACCTCAGATGGCCTTCAGCAGGCCAAAGAAACCACTATGAAGCTGCAAAGAGTTCGGTTGTCCGGAGAAAATTGATGTATCGCATTCTCTGAGAGATGTGCAGCCGTCAGCACGGACGGCTATGTACGTAAATTGCAATTTTTGCGAGTCGCCTCAAAGGCACACACGCAGGAAATTTTTGGCAAGCTGTGCTGCATATCAGTGTTTTGTCAAAGTCCTTTTTATCGCCCACTGCAATGGTAAGGCAAACGAAAAAGCTTGTCAAACGCAGTAAGTCTTTCAAGACATCACTGAATCACAGCACTTTGAAAGGGTAGGCATGGGAATTCATGGCCAAACATGTGCACCAAGCTCTTTACGGAGCTCCACCCTTCAACATGCGGACAACACAACGGCGGAGCGTCCTCCAGGGTTTTCTTGGAAACTTTGTGTTGTGGCTTCAGGAGAAGATGACTAGAGGTCAACTGAATCTAGAGTTTGTTCTGAATCTAGAGTTTGTTCGTGGTTCGTGCAATCCAGCAATAATGTTTGCGAAGTGCTTGGGTTCAGTTTTGTATCACCAATGTCGTGTCATGTTGGGATTTAAAACAGTGCAAGGCGTTCATTGAGCAATTGAAACAATCATCGATGCTTTTGATGCTTTTGAATGTTTCAGTTCGAGTTCCTTGCCATGGATCCAAAGCGCAGACCATTCCAAGCACGGTGGGCTTGGAAACCTGGAGATACAAAAGACTACCATCCTCCCATGTCTCATGTACACCCGGGGGAACAGACTTGGTTGTCAGTTTTCACGCCCATTTCAGAGTCCCACTCTTTCATCTAGCATTCTGCCACCTCCGGCCCATGGTTCACCTGCGCCAGCATAGCACGCTCTCGACGACGCAAAGTAGTGCTTCAGGCTTTTTGAAACACAAGAGGGCACCGCCCCCAGTTCCCTGCCCCCAGATCCTTGTCCCCAGTTCCCTGTCCCAAGTCCTGTCCCCAGTTTGATGCCCCCAGTCCCCAGTTCCCTGTCCCAGTTCCCCCATCCCCACATCCCTGCCCCCAGTTCCCTGTCCCAAGTCCCAAGTCCCCTGCCCCTAGTTCCCTGTCCCAAGTCCCCTGTCCACAGTTCCCTGTCCCAAGTTCCCTGTCCCCAGTTTGCTGCCTCCAGTTCCCTGCCACAGTTCCCTGTCCCAGTTCCCTGTCCCAAGTTCCCTGTCCCCAGTTTGCTGCCTCCAGTTCCCTGCCACAGTTCCCTGTCCCAGTTCCCTGCCCCCAGTTCCCTGTCCCCTTCCCTGTCCCAAGCAGTTCCCTGTCCCAAGTTTTCTGTCCTGAGTTCCCTCTCCGCAGGTCCCTGTCCCCAGGCCGTTCCTCTTCCCTAATTCCCTTGTAGGCCTTGATCAGCGACTTGAGGTTCTACATAGTTGGAGATCAGCCTCGTCTGAGGTCCACCTGTAGGCCTTGATCAGCGACTTGAGGGCTTACATAGTTGGAGAATAAAATCAGGAAGCATGAAGTGAAAACGCCGCCCTCAAAGATACAACATTAAGTCATTAGGGGTTAAGTGAAAACGCCGCCCTCAATGATGGCCCCAAGTCAGCTGCTTTGCAGGAGACGATGTTCTGGCAGCGTTCTGTAGCCCAAGCTTTTGTTAATTCATCATTGAGGGCGGCGTTTTCACTTAACCACTAATGATTTAATGCTGCATCTTTGAGGGCGGCGTTTTCACTGCTTGCTTCCTGATTTGACTCGGCGTTTTTTCCTTAATGCTTGGTCTGAGATCAGCTGTGTCTGAGATCAGCGAGAACACCATTTTTGAGCGCGGTGGTTGTTTTTTTCTTAATGCTTGGTCTGAGATCAGCTGTGTAGGAGATCAGCGAGAACACCATTTTTGAGCACGGTGGTTGTTTTTTCTTCATGCTTGGTCTGAGATCAGCTGTGTGTGAGATCAGCAAGAACACCATTTTTGAGCACGGTGGTTGTTTTTTCTTAATGCTTGGTCTGAGATCAGCTGTGTCTGAGATCAGCGGGAACACCATTTTTGAGCGCGGTGGTTGTTTTTTTCTTCATGCTTGGTCTGAGATCAGCTGTGTTTGAGATCAGCGGGACCACCATTTTTGAGCACGGTGGTTGTTTTTTCTTGATGCTTGGTCTGAGATCAGCTGTGTCTGAGATCAGCGGGAACACCATTTTTATAGAGCCTCAAGTCGCTGATCAAGGCCTACTGGATCTCAGACGAGGCTGATCTCCAACTACTGTGTGTAGAGCCTCAAGTCGTGGGGG